AAAAAAAAAAAAAAAAAAGTGATACAGCAGATTGAATTTATATGAGGTAAAATTTCAGATTTAGTTGACTTTTAAAACTGAAATATTTTATTAAATGATAGATAAAAATTTTAAGTTTAACCCATAGCATTTTCCACACTTAGAATTTTCCAAGTTTTCTGGTCTATAAACTGAGCTTTATAACTACAAAGTAAGTACCATCTGTTGTGATAGCAAACTAATACAATAATTGGTCTTATATAATCTAAAAACTTTAAAGCAGGGGATTCCAAACATTCAGTGTACAGTAAGCACTTTTCTATAACCTTCCCTATCCCAAAATCATCTGTACAATATGTAGTAGTTAGGATTAGGGGCTTCATTGTCATATAATTGTGTGAATCCTAATCCTACTGCTTACATTTGTTATGGACTGAATGTTTCTGTTCCCCTAAAATTAATTTGTTAAAGCCTCAACACCCAATGTGACTGCATTTGGAGATAAGGTCTTTATGGGGCTAATTAAAATTATATGAGGTCATGAGAGTGGGGCCCTGATAGGAGTAGTGTCCTGATAAGAGATACACAAGAGAGCTTGCTTATTCTCTCTCTCTGCTGTATGAGGACAGTATTCTCTCTCTCTCTCTCTCTCTCTCTCTCTCTCTCTCTCTCTCTCTCTCTCTTTCTCTCTTTAAATTGGGAAAATTTTAATTCTACTCAAGGGGATGAGGACAATATTCTCTAACAGATGCTGAGGTAAGGCACCTGGTAAGCTAAGACAGTAAAGAGTATGGTCACAATTCATTTTAATTAAAGTTTGTTGAGTGTTTCAGCTGAAATATTTTCACAGGTATTTTCTCCGTTCAGAGTACCTTTGACAAATGTTGGCAAGGATATGAAACAACAGTTGGTATATTGGTTATGTAAAATTGACACAACATTTGAAAAACTGGCAATACATGCTAAAACTGCAAATTACATATACCTGTGATCCAGCAATTCTACTCTAAGTTTCATGGTATGCAAGAGGAATAAATACATATATTCATCAAAATATATGTACTGGACATTTAT